AGTACCTATGGTCTGTGCCCCCAAATAGACAAACAATAAAATACTGGCATAATCTTAATCAGGGTTATGTAAAATATGATCACATATCCTTGAAAGGTGAAACAGCCGAACAGCTGACTTGGTGCCTGAAACAGCACCTGATCCTGGAACAGCACCTGATCACTTAGATGAGACCGCCAGAATATATTTTCATTACATTTATCAAATACTTATTGAGAGGTTACTATGGGCCGGATATTGTGCGAGGTGCTGGGCTACAGTGGTGAACAAGAAAGAATCTTGTTTCTAGGAGCTTTCAGTCTACTGGGAAGACAAACAAACAATAAGAAGAAAGTTTGCTAAATACAAAGACAGTAGAGATACCTAGAAGAGGCAGCCAAGTCAGATTTGGGAGAAGGCAGGGTGTGAAGGGGAGGCTTAAAGAGGGCTTCTTAGAGGAAGCAATAAATTGAGATCTCAATAATAAGGGAAAGCTAGGTGAGCAAAATCTAGGTAAGAAAATCTAGACAGAGAATATGGTGGATAACTTCACCCTTATTTTAAAAATTCTAGAAAGCTGATTATATCATTCATGTAACTTTTTACCTTCCTTTGATAATTTATAATGCCCAACATTCCTCTTCCAACCACCAACACCTGGATCCAGCCTTCAACATTACAGACAGTTGAATTGGTCATTAATAAGTCTTATATTGTCACATAACTGCCTCAGAGCAAAAGTAACAAGAGATCAACAGTGATTTTCTATTGTTTTCTACTAAAACTGCTCAACACATGGGTTTATAATGGGACATGCACATACTAGTATAATAAAAAATAAATTTCGTCAGGGGTGGGAGGGCAGTATGCTCATTTATAATTCTGATTACCCACGACATCTAGTAGGATCTTTCACCAAATAAAAACTCAATGGCTCCATACCAATAAGGAGAACACTCAAAATACCCACCAGAAAAACAAAATCCACCTATTTTTTAAAAAATTTTTTTACTTTTTTGTTAATCTTCACCTGAGGATATTTTTCTATTGATTTTAGACAGATTTTAGAAGAGAGAGGGAAAAACAGAGAGAAACATCGATGTGAGAGAGAAATCAATTGGTTGCCTCCTGCACAACCCCCCTACCCCCCCACCCCCACCCCCTTGGGAGGCAACCAAGGTACGTGCCCTTGACCAGAATCAAACCCTTTGGTCTCAGGCCGTAGCTCTATCCACTGAGCAAACTGGCTAGGGAGATTCTTTTTTAAAAAATATATATTTTTATTGATTTCAGAGAGAGAGAGAGAGAGAGAGAGAGAGAGAGAGAGAGAGAAAGAAACATTAATGATGAGAGAGAAGCATTGATCAGCTGCCCTCTGCACATCCCCCACCAGAGACTGGGCTCTGCAACCTGGGCATGTGCCCTGACCCAGAAATGAACTGTGACCTTCTGGTTCATAGGTCAACGCTCAACCACCGAGCCATGCTGGTGGGGTGCACCTACTAAACAATTAATATGTAGCTATGATACAAACAAACGCTGGCCTAGACTATATTTTAAAACTTTAACTTTATAACTTTATGCCTAATTCTCCTTACATTAAAAAACACACAAAAAAGGAATTGAAGGAGGAAAGTTACATGAAGGTAAGGATATAGGTTACGAAGGTAACAGCTGAGGCAAGGGCAAGGCCTATTTAATTAACAAAAAGTAAAACATATTTTTATTTATCTTCACTTTGCTTTAATTAAAAGGCGCCATGGCACCCATAAAGTGTTTTTTAAAATCTAACAGATGCTATTATGTCTTAGAGAGGTTTGTCTTGCATGCATCTGGGAGTCAGCTTGTACTTATCTAAACCTCACATACAATTAAATGTTCTCAGTAGGCACAGCTTTAGGTACAGCTGAACGAAGTTCCAGGAAACCCCATTAGGAGTTTCACTATTTATTCACACCAACAATGGCAGCTGGTGCGTTTTGGCCATGGTGTTCCCTCCTATTGTGCAAGACCTTTACCCATAAGTCAAATTTTAATTTAATCTTTCACATCTTATTAAAAAACTATGAATAATACTTTACAATTAAAACTGTATTTTAAAAGGCTATACAGAAAGCTCAAAAATAATTTTGAAGTATATCATCCCAGACAGCTAGCTCACCACATTAAGCATACCCTTCTTTAAACTTATACTGCTGAAACTGAGCATTTCCCTTCAACTCTCCCAGCTTTGGCTACAATCTAATAAAAATGGCTGGGTTGCCAATGACCCAAATAAGTACAGTTAATTCAAGATTCCAATTCCTATTTCCAGGATTAGAATATTCACAATACCTGCTGCTTTAAACATTTGAACTTTCTAGTTTCAGTTTCATCAATTTGTGACCTATCTTGGCTAGAAAGTTCCAATCTTATTTTCTCAATTTCTGATAAAAAACCAACCAACCTGGTTTTCACTTTTGCGAACAAAATCAAGGATCTCTTACTGTGTTTCGGCTAGGCGGTGCACAGCTGGAGGGTTGCTACAGCAACTCCTGTACACTGACTACAGATAGTCCTGGTCCAGGAAGGAAATCATTTGCTCCACCCCTTGAGGAGTCAAAGGCTCTGGGGAGCAGCCATCTGTGAGCTGAGACACATTGTTAGTCCAGTAGGTGTGATGGAGGAACAAGAGACCATTCTTTGTTGCCTCTCAGTAAGAAATGTCACCCCAGCAACCAAACCAAGTTGCTGTGTGTGATTAGGTAGTTCTGCACCATGGTAGGGCTGTATTCTTTACCCCCCTCGTACTAGAAACCTGAACTAGGGAACAAACAAAAGAATTTCCTTCCAGGCACATAGAAAAAGAAAAAACAAAAAGCAAAGTTACTCCCCCGAGTAAATTAGAATATTCCCACTGTTAAGAAGAATGCATGTCAGCTCTTGCTTTCAGGCTTTACGCCATGTAAACTTGGGTTCTTGACATTTTCCCCCACGCAGATTTAACATTTATTGAATTTTTACTCAGTGCCAACCTTTTTGCTGAGGGCTTTAACATGTTATTTCATTTACTCCTCACAAAAACTCCACGAGGTAGATAGTAATATAATCCCCACTTTACAAATGAGAAACAGAGGCTCTAAAAATTTGATGTTTGAGCTACTAAATGGTAGAATCACAATTTTAACCCAAGTCTCCTAATTCTGAAATCACATTTTTTTTCTACCACACTACACTGATTTTGCAAGAAAATTCTAAATAGAAATATTCAAGCATTCTTGAAAGTATCTTTAAAATTTTTTATGGTATTTTGTTTTAGAAATACATTTCTACAAGTAATGACTTCACTGCTGATAAACTAAATATTATATTCAGTCACTTTCTTAAGTGCATAGAAAAAGGCACTGATAGGGCTACATTGTGGTCCTGTGCTTGTTGTTGCTGCTGCTTTTTGTTCGTTTGTTTTTGCTAAATATAAACTACAGAACTCACATTATTGAGAAAGGCAAAGTAGAAAAATAGCTAAGGTGACAAAACTGAGTTTAGATGATGTACTCTGTGGGACATCTCTGGGGCTGAAGGAACTGATAGAGGGAAACACTTTTTTCTCTGCCCTTTGTTATTTTCCAGGACAATTCCAAGCATCAATCTGCCTAGCCTGTCATTTCCCCACCTCAGGTCTTCTAACCTAGTGCAGCTTCTCTTACTGAGAATGAGTCTAGTTCTCCCCAGAAAGACAATTACCCGCTTCACCTACGCACACTTTTTGGGAATTTCCTAGGACATAAAAACTGTCCTTATTAAAAATTTAAATCTTTATGAAATATGAAAAGTATTACATATGCCCTCCTCCCCCGTTAAAATTGCTTTTCCTAGCTCCCTAAGATCCTGACCAAAAATTCTTTTACATCTTAGCTTGAACATTCCCCCAGGTGTGGGCTCAATAAAGATATACCTCTAATTTTTTCCCCTTGGAATCATCATTTCTTAAACTATTACCCTATTTTCCGAGTTCTTCCCTCCTAGTTTGCCTTTCCTGTCAGCCTCCTATTTTATTTCAGCTAATGACTGCAATTCTCTAGTTGTCCTGAGGGATTCCAGTGAGAAAACAAAAAAGTTCAGAAGAGTCATACTAGCTTCCAAAGGCTCCTGGAAAGATAGGTCAACAAATGTTAATTTATTATAAAACATACAAATACACAGAAATCTTTTATAGCACCGATTTAAAAATATAAAAAATAAGAATGTACTATATTTCCTCCAACTTTTGCTGGATGAGGTAATAAAACGTCCAACTTCTTCCCATAATTTCCTATTAAAAATATGCTGGCTTTGTGGGTCCTGAAAATCACATTCTTAATTTATACTGATGAATATTATATATAATGCAAAAACTAAAAGTCGCCAAAAGCTGTAGTTATAAATAAAAGGATTTGTAAAGGAGAATGGGAATAATAGAGGAAAGCTTTTGCAGTTGGGTTGTCATCTAAAATTGAAGTAACTATGGGTTCGTATTGGTAATTGTCATAGAAACTTGGGCTAAAGGCTTCACAAAGCTTTTCCATTCCAAAAAAGAAAAACATTTCATTTCATAGCTCTAAAACAAGATAGGGAGGAAGTGCTAGGAAAGTTATAAAACCTTTCCATACTCTGTTAATTTTATATTGGTTCTTAGGGTTACAGGCCTAAATGAAAAAGTGGGACGGTACTTGAAATAGTATTTCAAATTGAAGCTCAATTTTAAATGTCATCAATCCAGTATAATTTCTCAGATTTAGCTTAAGATATCTGAAAGTGAACAATGTTTCTAAAATATGGTGAGATTAGTATTTCAGTCAATAAGAAAAAAAAAAAACCCCAGCATATCATTTATTATTTGGGACTCTTAGATCATTAGGCATTAATTAAAAAATACTACAACCTGACACATTATAGAGGCTAGAAACATAATTCAAAATTTCATAGATATATTAAGTTAAAACCACTTTAACAATATAAGATCTCATTGACAGTTCATTTAAGGTGACAGTTTTGCTATAGTGTTACTGTTCCCACATGATATCATCTCTTCTTAATTTCATTTGAAGATTATGGACTGGCGTTGGATGAAAGTTGCTGTTCTTCTGAAGAGAGTGATTTAGCAGACATTTTCTGGGGCTATATTTTATGTTCTTTAATCCTTTAGGGTTGCTATCTTCTCGTTGAATACATGAAGCTTCACTCATCTTTGAGTTTTGAACTTTTTGCTGTAGTTTGCGAACCTGGAGAGAAAAAGATCTACCATTTTAATAAAAAACATTAAAGATATAACCTATAATACATGGACTGGATTGATGGTTAAAGATTACATAAAATTAAAAAGCTCATTAAGGTCTTATTTATTGAATACCTATTAGATGCCTACTATTGTGCTAGTCAGGTAGAAATAAAGCTCCTTGTTCTCAAGACGCTCACTGCTATTATTAGTGAAAGAAAAGCATAAACATGACAGCTAGAGAATAATTCAAGCTGGGATAACTTGGAATAGGACAAAAACTGTGTATCAGAGAAGGCCAACGCAGGACAAGATCAATGTGGGCTGGAGAAGCTGAGAGAAAGGTTTGTGGAGGATATCACTTGGAGTGCGGGTGAATTTCCCGCCAAAATATAAGATGGCTCTGTCTTTTGGTTTTGTTCCATCCACCAAAAGGGTGGATTACAAACAAATATTTGGTAATACGCAGTTACAATCGGCCCGAGTTTACACGTTTCCCGCACTCCACCGCAAATCTATATGAACCGAGTTAAAGACGGCTCCCGCGGAGTACGCGCAATTCACGCGAGCCGACTTAACTCGTTTCCCGCACTCCAAGTGATATGAAATGGGTAAAAATTATAAAAGAGAGGAGAACCTTTCAGACTATATTAACAGCAAAGACTGGGTGCTAGCAATGAGCATCAAGTTTATAGAATCAAAATACATATATATTACTTAAAAGAATTCCTGAATTTAAAGTACTACTGAATGCCAGTAACAGCAACAAAAAAGTCAAGGGAATAACCTTATCTCATTAGGAGTATCTAGTAATGGTTGGACAGACAGAATTTTAAAAAAACCAAAACCTATCAACTAGCCAAACCCATTTCTTCCAAGTCCAGTCAATTATTTAGTCTATTTACTAATGCATGTCTAATTTGTACCTGATGTTCTATTTGCTAAGGCCATTTTAATTGCAGACATTAAATTTATCATGATAAAATACTTGAAAATTTATGCTGCTACAGCTATTATGGAATATAATTATTTTCACAATATAATTTATGTTCACACTGCCTAAATTAAAAAAAAATGACTACTTTTCTATTCTCTTCAAATTTCTCTTAAGGAAGTATGTTATGTAATCTTCATCCTAGCACAATCATACAAAATTTTTTACTTACTATAGCATTAAGAGCCAGTAAAGTAAAAACTTGCTTCAAAACATTCATTTCCCTCTTCCTTTCTTTTTTAAATATATTTTTATTGATTTTGGAGAGAAAGGGAGAGAGAGATGAAACATCAATGATGAGAAAGGATCATCCACCGGCTACCTCCTGCACGCTCCACTGAGGAGCCCGCAACCTGGGCATGTGCCCTGACTGGGAATTGAACCATGACCTCCTGGTTCAGAGGTCAACGCTCAACCATTGAGACATGTCAGCTGGGCCCTCTTTCTTTCTTTCTTGGCCACAGAAGAAAGGCAGTAAAATCCTGCATCCTTTATTACTGTCCTATAAAGTGGGGGAGGCTTAATTGTGAGGTTAATATATCACCAACTTATATTAATGTTGTTACACAGGCAGATGGCTACGTGACTTGAGAGTTCCTAGAAAGACTCCCTCTGCCTTCTGCTCCAGCAGTGTAATAATGCTAATATTCTCACTTGCAAAGTTATTATTTTGGGAGATAATAATGGTCCATGATTGCTCTGTTAAAATATTAAAATTATTATGCCACTCTTAGTTAAGAATTCCCATGCAAGGATAGAGTCTCCCTCACCACCTCACTACAGCACAGATACTCAGGGAATGCAGCAAAGCACAGCTTTTTTTCTGGGAAAGTGGAAATAGTGGTTATAGGATTGGGTACTGCTTAAGGAGCCAGGTTCATGTATGGTACTGAATTAGAGACCTGTCAACATAAGGGGCTTCATTAAGGAATCAGAGAAGGGAGGAATAAGGGGGAAAATGCTAAAAGGGTAACTGGAAAGGTTATAAAGCAAATTCAGCATGTACTCACTATTTTCCCAAAGACATTTCTGAATACATAACTAAATTTTCTTCCTCCGTATTCATTATCTTATCTTGGAGAGTTCTGGAGGAGGCCATGTTATTCCAATGGAACAGATGGCTCTATTCTATAATAGGCCCGAGTGACTCCTATTTATCATCTTTTCACTAAGTCATACATACAGACCTCAAATTTGGAAGGTCATACAGAGATATATACTGAATCCAGGCATATTATCCTTTTATTAAAATCTTTTTTTCTTTTTATTAAAATCTTTTACTAAAACTTTCTTACACTATCTTGATGCTTCATCAGTTTGGAAATCTGTTCTCTTTTAATTTCCATTTTCTTGACTAAATGCTCTAGTTCACATTCTATGTCTTCACAGACTGCATGGCTTTCAGTTTCCTTCATTTGATTCAGTAGCTCTTGGTGTTCTCTATGAAAGAAAAGCAAATATTAGATACATAAATTTTAGTCAGAGTTAAATATTAATCTTCAAAGACAGTCTGTGCCTATAATTAGGGCTATCTAATTGAATATATGGTAAATATAAATAGGTTCTTGTGATTTGAGATTAGATATATATAGAAATATCTTAGACTCAGGGTCTTAAAGAAGCTTAAAAAAAGTCCAAATTCTTAATGTTTATAGCTAAATGTAGCAAACTATTCTGATGTCCTTAGGTAGAGGTATTAAAGTATTCTTTTTAGTTCCAACTTTGGAATTATTAACGTAGGATCTTTGGAAGAATTCCAGCTATAGAAATATTTGCCAGAGAATTCCTTAGATAGCCTACTCAAAGAAATACTGCCAAAGGAACTAGTTACCTCTTCTATATTAGTCTTAGTTCAATTAGCTGGCTAGCCAAATCATATATTTTCTGAAATTCTATTAAATATGTATTTAAACTTGGGGCTAAAAATATGTATCCCATACAGAATTTTGTTTGCTATGGATGCTTCAACTTGTAATGCAGACTAGCCAGAGTTTAAAACAAGAGACTACATTCCTACTTGTCTAATGAAATCACTCATATCACTAAAAGATTATAAAAAACCAACACAATCTTTCTTTTGTGAGTTATAATTTAAGATCACCAGAACTCATTTGTTAGAATGACAGTAATACTGTGCTATAAGTTGAGATCTTGGGAATACAGAGACTCCTTAGATTAGATCAATAGTAATTATACAGCCCTAACCGGTTTGGCTAAGTGGATAGAGCGTCAGCCTGTGGACTGAAAGGTCCCAGGTTCGATTCCGGCCAAGGGCATGTACCTTGGTCGGGGGCACATCCCCAGTAGGAGGTGTGCAGGAGGCAGCTGATCAATGTTTCTCTTTCATCGATGTTACTAACTCTCTGTCCCTCTCCTTTCCTCTCTGTGAAAAACCAATAAAATATATTTTTTAATAAAAAAAAATAGTGATTATACACAGTTGAAAATTTAAATCCAGTAGTATCAATAAATACAATGAAAAATCAGTGACAAGAAATTTACAGATCAAAATAAGTCCAAATGACTAAGTAAGGACATCAAAAATTTGTAAGTGGCACTGCTCTTAAGACTAAGAAGGAAAATAATATCTAAATATCTTGCTATTTCTTATGGTAAAAAATAAAAATACTTACACACTCATTTGGTCCAGCTCTTCCTGCATTGCTATCAAAAGTTCAGACAAATTGTCACAAATGGAAACAGATTTTTTGGAGTGAGGAGGTACCACTTTACACTGGGAAGTTGTTCTAGTAGGCTTGTAGAGACATCTAGGCTCAGCAACTTCAGCAGGTTTCTGAAGAATCTGTGGCCCATAATGTTGCACCATCTGAAGGAGGTTTTGCACACTTGCATTTACAGAATGGCACGCTCTGGCAGGCTTTGGGGGAAAAGAAATAGCTGAGAACAATTTCAAGTGACGGATGGCATTTAAATAGAACTTACAACAAAGCAGGAGTTTTTCTGAACAAGCATCTTTATTTTTCCCCTCTCACCTTTTCAGACAACATAGGCATTGATCCAAACTTTGAATACATTTGCTGAGGTGGTCCTCTTTTTAAGCATTTAGTTTTCTAAATATTTAGAAGGGAAAAAGTAAAGAAAAATGTTTTAAAAGACATTAATGACATGAATAAATCTCAAAGCTCAAGAGTAAATAAATAATCTGATGAGAAAATAGGCAAAAAACAGAGATTTCACTGAAGAGGACATACAGATGGCAAATAAACACACGAAAAGATCCAGGGTTAGATAACTGAACTTTATATAAATAGACTTATTTTGTTTCTGTTCTTCAGCAACTTGCTTTTTCTACTCAACATTAAGTTTATGAGGTTCATTCAAATGATGTATATACCTGTGGTTCACTGCTTCTTATGGCTATAGAAGCTTTATTTGTTCTTCCTCATTTCAATGATCATTTGGACTCTTTTTGTTATTATAAACAACACTGTTATGAACATTCTGTACCTGCCTTCTGGTGTATATAAATAGGAGTTTCTGTTAGATGCTGGGCCATAGAGTTGTGCATTCTTAACTTTACAAGTTAATGTCCAAAGTGACTAGACCAATCTATGTTTTAGCCAAGTTATGATTGTTCCATATCCTTACCATAAGTGTCTTTTTTTTGTTTGCTTTGTTTTTACATTTTACTGGGAGGTCCCCTCTATCTTTAACCAGTGTCTCACAATGGCAATAGCTGGCATAGGACAGTATAATATACAGAGATTCCAAGATGGCTGCAGAGTAGCTTGGAAGCTGTGCCCACTGCTCCCAGCCCCAAATCGATTTATAACTAAATTACAGAACAATCAACCTGAAAAACCAACTGAAGGCTAGCTGACCTGAAATATAACCATGAAGTACAGAAGCCACATAGAGACTGGTAAGAAGGGTGAAAACGTGGAAAGGGATAGCCTTCTCACACAGGTGCAGGGGCCAATGAGAAGCCTGAGGAAGAACGGCTGCGGAATTCCCTCCCCTGCACTTCCAGGAGCCTGGGGTCTCAACCCCACACAAGGATCCCCAAACCAGAGCAACAGAGATGGGAAGAGGTGGTGGGAATCAGTGGGGATTCAGTGGGGATTCAGCCGGCCTGGGATACTGACCACACCCAGGAATAGAGCACCAGCTGGGAGTCACTCCCCAGGGAGGAAGGCTGGTGAGGCCAAGCTGCCACACTTGGGTCCTGCTGAGGGATCTGCTGGCTACACCCAGCAGTGACTTTAAGGGACCCTCTATTTTCTGGCGGAGATCCAGAGTAAACTGTATGACTTGGGAAAGAGGACCGTCTCCCCTACCTCCATCACACAGCTGGCTCTCCTCCCCCTACCTGTTGAGCTGCTGGGCCTGCCCAGTCCTGCTGGGTTGGTGGTGAGGGGAGGGAGCCACACAGAGCTGGGATTTTCACCTGTGTCTCCTGGGGAGGCTTCTGTCCCGGAGCCAGACGGGCAAGTGCTGGGCTGTGTGGCTACATTGCGAGGAAGCAAATCCAAGCTTCCTGCGAGTTCAGCCACCACTGCCTCGGGAAGGAGAAGTGCCCACCGATCTCCTACAGACTTGCAGGCACCACCCCCAACAGGAGACAGTGTGGATCAGCCCCGCCAAGTCCCAGATACCCCCAATGAGCTCAGTGGGGGGAAGGGAAAGTGGCTCAGAGTGGGAGCATTCAAAGTGTGAGACTCAGAGGCTACAGTCTGGGACCAGGACCAAGTGCTCAGCCCTGCCTGCGGGCTAGGCAGGCATCATTCCCAATGGGAAACTGATTTATCCCCAAGCCCAGGGCAGGTAAACTTGCTTCTGTAGAGGGGACAGCTGGGTGTAACCAAACTGAACCTCAAGTGAACCCCCCTAGGGAAGCTAGAGCTGGAGACTGGCAGAAGCTGAGGGCTTGGCTTTGAAGCAGGGGCTAAGTTTTCCTCATTTGAGTGCCTGACTGCATGATTCCCAGGTAGGGGACCCACGGGCCCTATAGAGGCTGGCCTGGGCTTTTACTAGTAGAAGCTACTTTTCTTTTCTTCATTTCTTTTACCTTACTTCTCCCTCTACCGTCATCATTTTCACGATGAATAGAAAAATTAAAAAAAATATTTCCACTAACTCATCAAAGGATGTCATAAAACACAAATATAAAAATAATTCATATTTTTTCCCCACTGGCAAATTACTTATAGCAATTTTCTATTTGCTTTTGCAGCTTCTAATCTCATTGTGCAAACAAGATACAGAACAAATATTTAAGAAAGGAAATAAGAAAAAAAAAAACAGTTTCACTGGGAAAATGCTTTAATTATTGCAGTTTGCAAATTCTCTGAAAGAAAAAAAATTATGAAAAATACAGCCAGACTATTGAATAGTAATTCTTATTTATGCAATAAAAGAGTAGCCCAAGTAAGTATAATGTTCTCTATATTACTGTATCCATAGGGTGAGCCTATGGCAGTGGCCAGAATTCTCAAAAAGCGTCTCTGCTTCCACAGCAAACGGCACACAGAAACAATAAGTAATCACACGCATGTTGAGTAAATAGTGATAATGGTCATCAAAACTGTAATTTCAGAATCATAAGATTAAAAGGGATTGAAATCTTCTTACCACTACAGATAATTAAGAAGGTTTAATACCATTTATCCGAAACATCAACTCATCTATAAAGTACTAACTTTCCAGTTCTATTTTTAGGGTAAAAAGAAAATCCCTAGAGAAATTACTTCATAGATCTATAATTTAATATTATGTAGCCTTCTCTTTTTATTGTACTCAGAGTGGGATCTATTGTGTTGTTGGCCTCTGTTGTTTTACATAGTATCACAAGATAATTTCTCTAAGAAGTTAGTACTAGGAAACGTTTGCCTTTCTAGAAACACTGGATGCTTATTGTTAGTGCACAAAGGCAGGTGATACCGCCCATTATCTGCTCCTTTTGCTTTTATTGTCAAGCAAACACAGCCAGGTTTTGTGCTCAACTGCTGTGGAGGTTTTATGGAATTTTCTATCCTTTTACCTCAAACCATCATCACTGGATTCATATTTTTATCTCCTTTTCATAATAGTATTACATGTCTTTTATTATAAGTGTCTTCAATTTTTTTGGGGGGGGGGAATGAATAGATATAAATATGAAAAGAGTGAATAAATAAGTATTAGCAAATAAAAATAAAATGTTTGCATACCTTTGAAGATTTCTTCTTTTCCTTAGGTTGTTTTGGGTTTGATACTGAAGACATTAAAATTCTATTGATTTCAAGTCCAGTTTGAAGCTACAGTATTAAAGACAAAACTTTATAAAATTGATTTTTAACAAGCTTCTTTACAATGAAAGATCAGGTCTGTTTATAAAGATAAAAATACTTTTTGGAAAAGAAAACCCCAAATACTGTTTTTGTGGTGTGAAAGTCATTAAATCTATTGGTAATTGCAATAATTTTCTGTTTATAAGAGAATTATTCATTCTCTCAACCAAATGGAAAACAATCTATGACCAGGAGTTGATATATACATGTATTTATTTATCAAAATTTCAAAACACCAAAAGGCCTTTTGGAATGCATCCCAGTATATGAATGTACTGGCTTATTGAGAATTTCAATAAACAGACAAAACTAAAGAGCTAGAAGCAGAAATTAGAGTCCAGAATTTAGGCTTCAGTTAAGAAAATAAAGGATCAGTGGTTAGAGCATCGGCCCACATACCAATGGGTCCCAGGTTTGATTCCCAGTCAAGGGCACATACCAAGCTGGAGGCAACCAATTGATGTGTCTCTCTCACATCAACTCTCTCTCCTTCCCTCCCCCTCCACTCTCTCAAAAATCAATGGAAAAATTATCCTCAGGTGAGGATTAACAACAACAAAAGAAAGTATAATTGTGATACATGATATAGTGCTCTATTTACCTCAGAAGCTTTGTCTTGAAATAGCTTACGCTGATGTTCTTCTTCCTTAAGTTTTTCCTCTAAATGTTTAATCTTGTCCTGCAAAAGAATAAAATAACTAGAGCCAACTACCCTTTGTTCCTTTTCCAAATAGAGTCCTTGGGGGGGTCTTGATTCTTAATAATTTGGCAAATTAGAGCAGAAAGTAAGAAAAAAGTAATGGCAAAAGATGGTAAGGTGTTTTTTTGGGCTTTCTTCCTATGCTCCTTGACCATAAAAACAAAGGGAAAGCAAAGAATGTACATGCATAGGCATTAACTTCCAGCAACAAAACCATAATGATGAAACTTTGAGGGATATTAAAGGTCTAGAAGGTCAAATAATTATATTCTTGCATCTCAATGTTTCACTCAAAACACAGACAAATCACAATAAATGTCCACCATGTACATACAATAAGGGCACAGTTGGAGGAGGAGGGAAGGGATAGGAAGACATCAGAAATATAAGATTAGAAATATAAGATATAGTCCTTGTTACTTAATATCTTATATTATATCCAGGAAATCAAAAGTAACACATGAAACAAACAACAAAGCAATGAATATGACTTGACCCAGACCATGTCTATACTTAGGCACATAAGTATTTCATCTTATATCCTTGGTGTGGTTCACAATAGGAGGACAACACCATTTCAAAGGAAGAGTTTCCTGAGTGTTGGAGAACTCAAGGAAAGCTTCGTAGAGAAAGCAGGACCGGAGAAAGTCCTATGGAATAAATAGGATTTTGGTGGAAAAAGAAGAGGGCATTTCAGGAAGGGACATAGGATAGGCTTAACTTAATTAACTGCAAGTGGTGAAAGACAATCTTCTCAATATTTTTTAGGTAAGTTATTTGAAATGAAAATGTTCTGTCATCTCAGAAGAAGCCAAAATTACAATTTTACATCAACAGGCAAGCTCATTCATGCTGTGACAGAATATATTAATTTTTCATCTCCATGGGCAGGAATTCATGTTTGGATTACTAAAAGTTGTTAACAAAGTTTTATAAATCTAAGATTTACTGCATATTCACATACAGAGCCAATTATGCATAATACTAAAGATTTATTACTGGCACCACTACTTCAAAGAAATAAGTGGAAGCTTACCTCAGCAGTTTTCTGAGTTGTTGTAAGTTTAAAACATTCTTTTTCTAAGAGATCAAGCTTTTCAAGTTTTGCTTGCAGCTTCATCTGATCTTGTTCTTTCTCCCTTTGAAGCTGGGTCTGGAAAGGATAAAACAAAACCTGAATTTGGCAAGTGATGCCAATGGCTCAAGAATAATACAATTTCTCAGAATTCAAAGCACAATATAAATATGTCATCAGAAACATGCATTTACATGCACCGAGTTTAGGTACAATATAAATCTGTCATAAGAAACATGTACAGCCCTGGCCAGTGTGGCTCAGTTGGTTGGCATGTCATCCTGAACATCAAAAGGTGGTGGGTTCGATTCTCAGTTGAGATGCATATGGGAGGCAACCAATCAATGTTTCTTTCTCACATCTCTCTCTCTCTTCCTTCTCTCTAAATAAACAAACAATAACAACACAAACACAGAAATGTACATACATGCACCTACTTTTACTGACAAAGGCCAAGAAAATCAATTATTTTTAAAGGAGAAATAAAATGTGCAAAAAAGATGTGCTATATTAGCACTAATGGAGCAAACACTCTGTGCATCTTTATATAACATTTCAACTAAGAAAAACATCACCAGTGAAAACTGTATTAAATAGTATTGCACACAGGGTGACCAAACCTACTCATTGAATTACCCTTTCTCTGTAACAAAGAAAAGCAGCTATCAGAGGAATAAAGCATAGAGAACATGGAGAAAAAGAAAGTTATACATATATATGCATACCTACTAGTATGTACTGTTTTGTAATGGTATTTATTACAATGCAAGATGTTAATAATAAAGGCAACTGTGAGGGGGCAAGGGGTAATAGAAAATATTCTAGAAGACAGTTTAGTAGTTTCTTATAAAGTTAAACATATACCTACCCTGTGGCTCCGCAATTCTCCTAATACATATTTACCCAAGAGAAATTAAAACATATGTCCACAGAAAAGATATGTATAAGAATGGTCATAGCAGCTTTATCTATATAATAAAAGCCTAAGCGGCCGTTATGGCAGAACGACCAGAATGACCTGTCGCTATGATGCACACTGGCCATCAGGGGGCAGATGCTCAACTCAGGAGCTGCCCCCTGGTGGTCAGTGCGCTCCCACAGGGGGAGCACCGCTCAGCCAGAAGTTGGGCTTACGGCTGGCGAGTGCAGCGGCAGTGGTGGGAGCCTCTCCTGCCTCCGCGGCAGCACTAAAGAGCAGCGAGCCGAGAAGGAGCAGCGAGCAGGTGGGCGGTAAGGAGTGAGGGATCCCTGATTGTGAGAGGGATGCCCGCCTACTGGCTTAGGTCCGATACTCGGGGGATCAGGCCTAAGCCGGCAGCCAGACATCCCCCGAGGAGTCCCGAACTGCAAGAGGGTGCAGGCCGGGCTGAGGGACCCGTCCCCTCCCAGTGCACAAATTTTGTGCTCGGGGCCTCTAGTCTATATATATATATATATATAAAAGCCTAATATGCAAAGTGTCCCCTCAGGAGTTCGACCAAATGGGAGTTTGATCACTCACATGCACTGACCACGGTGGATGGTGCGGAATGAAGGGAGGCCCCAGCCAGCAGCCGGTAGCCACATGAATTTCAAGCACTGGGCCTCTAGTTTATAATAACCCCAAACTGGAAGCAAGCCACATGTCTATCAACAGGAAAATGGGTAAACAAATTATGGCATATCTATATAATGAAATTCCACACTGCAATAAAAAGGAATGAACTACTGATACATAAAACAACATGGATGAAACTTAAAAACTTTATGCTAAAAACAAACAAATGCAGATAAAAAAGAGTATACAAAGTTCTAAGATTTTACCTTATAAAGTTCTAAGGTAAAATAAGTCAGAATAGTAATTGTCTTATTGGGAGGTAGGGAGAGAACAGAGAATAACTTTGAAGAGATGAAATAATTTCTGATGAAAATGTTTTATTATTTGACTAAGGCCCGGTGCACAAAATTTGTGCACAGGTAGGGTCCCTAGGCCTGACCGGCGATCAGGGCTGATCTGTGGGGCGACCAATGTGGTGATCGGGGCCCCCCTGCTGGCACCCACCTTAGCCAACCTGGGCCTATGGGCTGGGGGTAGCTCCTGTGTTGAGCGTCTGGCCCCTGTGGTCAGTGCACATCATAGTGACTGGTCGTTCTGCCGTTCGGTCGATTTGCATATTAGGCTTTTATTATATTATTTGATAGGGCTGTGGATTACATGAGTATATGCATTTATCAATAATCAACTATATACTTAAGATCTGTACCTCCCACTGTCTGTAGATTGTATGTCAAAACATTTTAAAAACTATTATAAGTCACTAGTCTACTATAGCTAGGATAGGAATTTCTAGGCTGTTGGGAATGTGTATGCTGAACTTTACAAGATAAAGTGGTTGCTCTTCTGGGTGTTGTATCCTCATTTATACACAGAATTGTCAGACTTTTAAATTATTTCTAATCTGTAGATATGAAGTAGTATCTTACTGTGGCTCTTTTAAATCCACCCGAGGATATGTTTTTTACTGATTTTAGAGAGAGAAACGTTGATCAGTTGCCTTCCTTACATACCCTGACCAAGGAATTGAACCCACAACCCTTTGGTGCATAGGACAATGCTCCAACCAACTGAACCACACTGACCAGGGCACAAGAGTAAGTATTTTAAAGACTGTGTCTGTTAGAGCCAGTACCTAACTGGAGCTAGTTTGCGAAAGTATTTATAGATAGTCTATTAAGTAGGCTATATCTTGTTCTTAGTGTCTTATCTCCTTTTGTCTCATTATCTCTGAAAGTTTCTCACTGTGTCAAAGTAATGTTTGTAGAAATAATTTGAAGTACCTGAGAATTATTAGCAATTCAGTATCACTTTAATACAATTTCAGGGACTAAGATTTTCTGACTTACTTTGATAACCTAGAGCAGTGATGGTGAACCTATGATACGTGTGTCAGAGGTGACACGCGAACTCATTTTTTTGGTTGATTTTTCTTTGTTAAATGGCATTTAAATATATAAAATAAATATCAAAAATATAAGTCTTTTACTATGGTTGCAAATATCAAAACATTTCTATATGTGACACGGCACCAGAGTTAAGTTAGGGTTTTTCAAAATGCTGACACGCCAAGCTCAAAAGGTTCGCCATCACTGACCTAGAGCAAAGTTGTAATCTGGGTTTTTTTCTACTGTTCACCCTTACAAAGACTGAGCACAGAGGATATACTAGGGTTCCTATTCTTGATAGGCCATGAATTCTAACTTTAATTTCCTTAACCCCAAAAGGATGGCTGTCAAAAGCATTATTGAGCCTCTCAATGGACTGTTCTGGAACCAGAAATGCACTCAGAAGGGACCTGAAATATCAGGCCTACCTCTCTGGATTAAAGTCTGCACACAGATAATACTGAATAGGTGATTTTTTTATCAACTTATTAAATCTCCAATGCCTTTGTGTATTTTTTCTTTCGATTCTGTCTTTCTTCTTAACACTTGGAGTGGGGGAAACGAGTTAAGTCGGCTCGCGTGAATTGCGCGTACTCCGCGGGAGCCGTCTTTAACTCGGTTCATATAGATTTGCGGTGGAGTGCGGGAAACGTGTAAACTCGGGCCGATTGTAACTGCGTATTACCAAATATTTGTTTGTAATCCACCCTTTTGGTGGATGGAACAAAACCAAAAGACAGAGCCATCTTATATTTTGGCGGGAAATTCACCCCACACCGGAGTGTTAATATTCTGTACAGTTTTTCTTATTTTCCTCTATAGGAAGGTTGGTCTAAATGATCTAGACTGCATCACTGTTAAGTGGAAATCTCCTATATACAACTTTATATCCTATTTTACTTAAGACTATAATGTAATATGACAATTTTCCCACAACATTAAATATTCTCTTTTTTCCTGAGGGCAAGTTTACCTTTTTTTGTGTATTTAATTTGTGTCATCTAATTTACATCTTACTTTTTTACTGAGGCATAATTAACATATCATGTTATATTAGTTTCAAGTGTACAACTTGTGATTTCATCTTTGTATACATTGTGAAATGATCCCCTCAATAAGTCCAGTACCCTCTGTCACCATAGAGACCTGAAGTTATGTTTCTTATAGAAATATGCTCACCTGCTGTTCTAGGATCATATTCTTCTCTCGCTCTACATTGAGAACCATTCTCTTTGTATATTCCAGTTGCTTCTCTAGGAGCGTACAGCGAGTCTGAGCTGAGCTTAATTGTATACTTATATCTATGAAAAAGAAAAGTAATTATGAGTCAATTAGTTGATTCTCACATAGGCCAGAGATTTGGTTACCATAAGAAATACATTATATGAATTCAACCAAGAGTTAAAAGTTCAAGACTTCGTTAGTTCTACGTACTGACTCTTCCAGAGTTATAAACATACATTTTGTGAATATTTCATTAATTATGTATCACTGGTTTAACATTATCTCTGCCTAAGGACCCAGAGAGCATACATCTGAAAGGGGAAGATGCCAGTGACTTGTGAGATGATAAGGATTCTGGCTGTCCCTGGGAAATGACACTCACTGGAAAAATAGAGGCCCCAATGTCTCTTTCCTATCAATACATTTCTTCTCTTTCAAAAACTCAGATATATGCATCCTACCATTCCCACTTTCCTCTGCTCTTGAATACAAGACAGCATGGTTCAATTCATAAGGTGAAAAACAATTTCTTTTTAATCCTTTAAGTTCTTACTTTCCTCAGCTCTTTCTTCCACTTTTGTCCAATTACCTCAGAAAAATATTTCTCCCCATTTCTTCATTCCACAAGTTGAAACACAAACTTGAACCCTGTTTTTGAGGGCAAGTGTCATGTTACAGAAAGCCACATCTTGAAGTAAAATTATATAAAGGATTTATATTCTAAATCTCTAAAACCCGTGTCCAGATGTCTTTTTCATAACTTCCACCGAACTGCCACCTACTGGTCCAATTCATCTAATTAACCACTCAAGTTTTTATTTTATATTCATTTTTATTGTTTTTATATTGCTTAATTACTAGTGTTGCCTTATGTTTTCAAATTTTAAAAACGTGTTAACTAATGCTATAAAGCATTTCAATTATGTCCAGGTTAAATTGGAGTTTGCCGGAATTCTGAAACTATTCTAATTTCTAAACACAACTTGCCTAAATACAGTTTTTCTTTTAATCTCAAAAATTTATGAACCGGGATAAAACAGATATAAAAATAAGTTCAAAGTTATATTTATTTCCTGCAAATATCAAAATGTCTGAGAACAAGGCTTCAGGGTTTGACAATATATAAAAGAATAAATATATTTGAGTAAATCTGCTTAGACTGGGCTTATTATTTTCAAATTGTAAACTTTAGTAACTCCTTGCTTCTGAGAACTACTGAATTTTCTTGCCTTTTTTCTGCTTTATCAGTTCCTGGTGGACCAGATTTCTCTCATTTGTTTCATCTTCCAAGGCCTTTTTATACTGTGCTGCTTCTCTGGATAAGGTGTTCAGGTTATCTTCAGCTTGTGTTCTTTCTAACTCCAAACGGTGAATCTTTTCTTGAAGAGTTTTTAAGGCTAAAATAAGAGCTGTTGAAAAAAAAAATTGCTTGATATTATAGATGAGAATATTTGAATACTTACAATCATATAAGTTACCAGTATATTTTTGTTAGCCAGAAAAATTTATAATACATATTTCTGATAAAAATGGAAAATAACAAAAATTCTAAAAAGGAAATTTTTTTCTAATATATCTTGTAAAAACAATATATTTGATTGCATTTAGTGATTTTTCTAGGTTTGAGAAAGCTAATGATGTAAGACTTAAAGATAATGTACAGTCTAGGAGGCATACGAATCTGAGTATGAATAAAGAAAATAAAAATATAGTACCCACTAACATAAAATTTAGGTTTAAAGTTAAAGATTCTTTTCACTTATTAATGTGTTCAGTTTTAATCAAACTACAAACATATATTATTCATTTGTCCAAGATAGTGTTAATATTCAGGACATATGAAGAACAGTTTCTTCCATTGGAAAAAAATTGTAACCTAGTGGTTTACCTGATATCAAGCTTGAAAGATTGTAAGTAGCACACATAAACTACAAAATTTTTTTTCAGTTATATTAATATCATCATGATTCAGAGAAGTTCAGAGTTATAAAATATTCAAGCATTACCTTACACTTTCTATTCAGTTATAACTTCAAACTATAAAACTAGAGATGAATAGAATATAAATAAATGTTATAAGCTATCTTTTGTATAGTTTATATCCAATTAGAAGGATGTTTGCTAGAGATTATCATTTGTTTTTTACAATTAAGATCAAGAAATTATCCTTATTGTTCTTTATATGGTACTTGTGGCTGACTCACTGGTTTGGAGTACTATTTCTTGTGGTTGTTTTATTCCACTCCATAAGGCTACCTTTATTATCGGCAACCTTTATCAAAGAATATTAAAAGACAAAGTGATAATCAGCATCTTAGAAAGTAATCTGAATCACACAAGGTATGCCTGGGGTCATAAATATTTTTCTAATTCAGTTTTAACATCCTTCTAAATTTATATTTTAAAAGTTACAATATTTGTATTTTGTAGTTACTCCAATATACTGGTTCCTCAGGAATTTTCAAGGCAATTTTGGATATATGCTACTTCTGAATTTAATCCTCAAATAAGACACAACTCTACTTAACTCACTAGCATTCTAATCATCTAGTTTAGATGGATTCCAAATCTGACCTTTTATTCTTCAAAGAATTTTCCATTTTCTAATGATGTTTTTATAATAAATCTGTGATATATGTCATCTTACAGCTGAAGCCAAAATAAAAAATGTTAAATAACTTGCGTAAGTTTACAGAAACTTTTAACAACATAATAGAAATTAGTAGTTTAAGGTTAAAAACACAATCTATTATTTTTACATAAAAATAAAACATTTTATATAACACACTTTATACCACTCCCCTATTTTTAAGTGATATTTTAATGTTAATATTACCTTGGCTATTTGGACTTTGAAGCATTTTCGGAGAGGTAACTTCAAAGTTCACAGAGTGGTGATTCCGAGGTAATTCATCATTCTGGGTGAATGATGGAGCAAAAATTCTTTCTGGAGGTTTAATATAGCTCCCTACTATACTATGCATTAATTCAGAATCCATTATCTGTAGAGAATAAACAAATTATATAGTATAGCATCACTCTTTCCTATTCGAATGACAAAAACATTAAAAGTTTAAATGAAACTTTAACATAAATACAAAAACTGTATCCTCTGGCCTTACTTGTCACAAATTTAACTATAATAATATAAGCTCAGCAATAAAGTAAAAATGAATATTTACTGTATAATCAGTATGGACAATTCTGCCTGATTTGCAATGAGCATCTGGCCCTGGAGTGAGCATATGGGTGATGTGAATTTTCTGGTTTCTCAGTTGATCATAAGTTCAGATACATCTCATCATATGAGCACCTCTTTATAAACAAAGTGATTCTAGAGTTCAAAGAGAAAATACATATTTTTAAAAGACAACACCGCTTTTAAAATATAATTTAATTCTCCAGTTGAACTCCACTGTACTAGCTTCCCAAGGGATTTTTAAGAGTAATTTTGGATATATCAATTTCTGAATGGAACCCTTAACTGAGACAGAACTCCATTTAATGCATTAGCATCCTAATGATCTAGTTTAGATGAAGAATCTAAAATGGCCGTATTTTGTCATTTAATCAGTAGCTTAGCATGTAGCAAGGCTTTCCAAATTAGACCAACTCTTCAAAACTATAAATCTGTTCAAGAATAGGTCACTTTCAGCATCCATCTGGAAAATTCACAGTACCTGTCTCTTTGTAGCTTCAAAGTGAATCAATAAACAAGAAGTCACCCCTTCCACACCGTCTATGACTGGGCTTACTGCAGTTTCCTGGAAACACCACTCCCTTCCACTTCTGGGCCTCCCCATATGCTGTTTTGGGGTCCTCTTTCCCTGACTCTCCAAGACGGGGCTCAGTGACCTTTGGAGCCACCCCAGTTATATCAGACAGCACTGTTCTTGTGGGCTCAACCATTGATTTCTCTCGGACAGGAAGGGGCTGTGTCTTTTTCACTCTTGTAATACTCAGTACCCCAAAAGGCGACATGTTTTGAAACACATCTATTCTGCAATGTGAAGAATTAAAATCTAATTTGGTTATGAGTCCACCGAAGACCTTTCTCACCACTACCCTTCCCAAAAGGAGTTATTTTAAGCCCTAGCCCCGGAGCTCAGTTGGTTAGACCACTGTCCCATAGGCCAAGGTTGTGGGTTGGATCCCTCAGGGCACAAAAAGCAACCAATGAATGCATAAATAAGTGGAACAAAGCGATGCTTCTCTCACTCTCCAAACTCAATCAAGAAACATTTTTAAAAGGAATTATTTAAAAACAACAGTACTTTGCCCTGACTGGTTTGGCTCAGTGGATAGAGCGTGGGCCTGTGGACTGAAAGGTCCCAGGTTCGATTCCGGCCAAGGGCATGTACCTGGGTTGCGGGCACATCCCCAGTAGGGAGTGTGCAGGAGGCAGCTGATGGATGTTTCTCTCTCATCGATGTTTCTAACTCTCCATCTCTCTCCCTTCCTCTCTGTAAAAAATCAATAAAATATATTTAAAAAAATAAAAACGACAGTACTTTGTAAACAAATGGTTGAATCCTTTCACTATACTACAATTGGAATATTTTTATGTGTCTTTTTTCACAAAACATCCTTTAATCCTGCAAAAATCCATATCAAGGAATACTGGGTATTCTTTGCCCCTTAGCCTCACACAACATGGATTTGACAACCCGCTTTCAAGGGCCTGCTGGGGAGGTCACTTGGCCGAGCAAACAAAGCACCGAGCACCCCGAGGCAGTATCAAAGGCGCGACTGCACAGGGATTCCCTAACCCACTCCGCACGAATCCACCAAAAAGAGCGGAGGCAGAGGCAGCGCTGCAGAGCATCCCTCTAGCCTGGACTAATGCGACCCCTCGGATTGCCTCCTTTCCTACATCTGCGCCTCCACGCGCCCTCGGATTTGGGCACCCGGACTAGTCGTTCTCACGCAGATTGCTGGAAAAAGTCCCTGGACAGCCCCAGATGGCTTCGCCTCCAAAACCTCAGAGGAAATGGAGGAAGGAAGAATCCTGTGGAGGGAAAAGTGGCAGCTTCGCCTGGGGTTCTCTCACCAAAGCGATGCTCTCAGTCAATCTCCGTGAGTGCTAACCGTTGACTCGCAGGCAGACACGGGAAACCTCGCAGTGGCTCCAGGGGGCTGTAGTTTCTGTCGCAATCAGAACGCGCCAGCAGCATCAAAACTACATTTCCCAGAAGTCAATGTAATGACGCCCTAGCTCCTGAAATAAAAGGTTTGGCGTAATTAAAGAGACCGGCACTATTTTTAGGCTAACCTTAAAATTAGATTAAGTTTCTTCCAGAAATGCATCTTTCCCTTTCCTGTTCTTGCCTTGTCTGTGAAAGTTACAGTACTTGAACTCTTACTTTTGTTTCTCCTCCAGTCCGCAGAATCCAAACGTCCAGGTACGCGGAAAACGCCCCCCCGCGGCGGACTAAATGCCGTTTAAGACGCATGCGCCCCTTTCGCCATGACGCATGCGTAGCAGCGGACAGCCGTTGGCGGCAGCGCGCGGACGAGGGTCCGGAGGTAGCCCGCGGAGGGCGGGGCTTTTTTCCAATGGCTTTGCCTCCGCGGGTCGCGTCTGCCTGGGCGGGGAAGAGGGCGCTAGGGCTGGGACGGCTCCTGGGCTCCTGGTTTGTGCCGGGCGGAGAAAGGGGAGGGACTGGGGGTGAGGACCCCATCTCCCCTCCCCGCTCCCGCCCTCTGGGGCGAGCCCCACCGATGGGGCTGGGCGAAGGGGCGGGCTCTGCGCCTCGGGCCCAGCGCCGCTGCCACCTCCGCGGCGCAACCCCGCGCTCGGGGATTGCAGGGCAGCCGGGCGTCCGTCTGGATTAGCGGGCGGTGGGCGAGGGCGCAGACGTCGGAAAAGAAACGGCATCTGCCCAAGGGCCTGGAAGCGACGGGGCGGGAGACGCCTTTTCCTCCTACGTCGCTGCCGAGACCGCAACTGCTGGAGGCTGCCGCCCCCCGGGAGCGCCTGGATCATTCGGCCGCGGCAGCGAGCGAACCGGGGTCGGCCAGCCTTGCCCGCCGGCGGCCCGCCAGCGTCCGGCCGCCGCCGAGGCGCGGGGAGGGCGGGCCTGGTGCGGAGGAGGGCGGGGCGGGAGCGCTCCCGAGAGCCCCGTGGCTGCGAGACCAAACCCCGAATGGCTGAGGGCGCTCGGCGGGTACCAGCCTTTCTGGGCAGCGCCCGGATTTGACAGCTCCGCCGCGCGAGGATCTCCGCTGACCCCGCCAGACGGCGGCCAACTCTTCGCCGCCCGGCAGAGCCAGGCGCCGCGAGGTTCCAACTTTCCAACTTGGGTTTTGGAGTCTCTGACCCGAAAAGACTGCCCCTTCGTGTAGGAAGAGACGGGGAGCTCTATCGTGTCGTTCGCTTGAAAGCCATCCATAGAAAAGGCACTCTGGTTCCACATGTCGCCCGGACGTATGTTTTCATGAAGATTGCATTTCTCTGATACTACTCTTAACATTTCTGGTTTTAAAAATACAAAGTGCTTTTGGGGACATGCTGAAAGGTGACTGAAGACGGCCAAGAGAAACCTCCGGTTGTCATGGCTGAAGGAGAGCACGAAGTGAGATGGGATGGGCTGTGCAGCAGAGATTCAGCGACCAGAGAGACAGCCCTGGAAAACATTAGGCAAGTCATTTTGAGAAAAGCCGAGTGTCTTCGTTCGGTGAAAGAGACACCTTGCCGCCCATCGGACGGGCTTTCAGATGCTGGCTCGCTGGATGGGTTGAATAAGCTTCTTGCTCATCTGCTTATGCTTTCTAAGAGGTGTCCCTTTAAAGATGTCAGAGAGAAAAGCGAGTTTATTTTGAAGAGCGTCCAGGTAAGGAAGAGAACTGTCTCTATAGTGAAATGTTACTTGCACTTAAAGTCGCTTCGTGTTTACTTCTACTAGGTTGTTATATGAACTCATTATGAGTTCACGCTACATCTTAAAATTAGAATGTCCTATAAAACATTGAATTGGGGGCCAAAATTGTACAAGATGACCTAAGGAAAAAGTAATTTTCGCATATGAGTAAACAGGTATTGTCTTTCTAGAGAGTTTTAGCAGAAACTACCTTCCTCCTGGGAAAATAAGTGAAAATTACAGTTAGTTGCAAGTGAAGACTCACTTTTCCTCTTATTTACTTTTACGTGTTGTTGGGAAGTGTAGCCGGTATGCTTTTCACGTTGCTACAAACTGTTCTGTGTGGAAAGTTTCACATTTAAAACTCTCTCAAATGATAAAGGACATTAAATGTTCCTTTGTCAGCTTGTTCAAGATAATTGGTGAAACAACTTTCTCTTGTTCTTAAAAACAAAACAAGAACCCCAGGATCTGTTCTCTAAATGCAACCTTTCTTTTAAGAATTATATAAAATAAGAAAAGCTTATGTTGTTATAAAAGCTGACATCTTCAGATTTAAAATTTGGACTCAGGTGGAATGTATGGTAGAAACACTTTTTATGGGAAATTACTCAACCAGCTTTCTCTGCGTTTGCTGAAGTTGTTTGTTTCTTTTCATTTTCACATGTGTACTCATTTAAATTGTGAGTGCAACAGGTTAAACATATTATAGTTTTCCTCCTGTTTTGTACATAATCAATTTATCCCATTTTATTGAAGATTTCTTGAAAGGGTTCTTTTTTTAGGAGAGGTTGTTCTTAAATATTAAGAATGCTCAATAGCCCTCTATACTTGTCAGTCTAAATTACTCCACATGTGCTGTTCAAAGTCATAGTGTGAGAAGTTTTTAAAATTTATAATTTACTTGTGTATACATGGAAATTAAGATAAACAGTTTTTCTATTCTGGCTTGAATTTAGTTTAAAGCAATAGAAAAATGAAGACTCTTCACAATCTTGGGATATTTCTTCTTACAATTACTTTGGAAATAATCATTATAACTCCTTTATCCAGAGTTACTAGAGAGGAATTTTCTAGAAACTTGAAGTTTACCCTTTTAAGCATCAAACGTTTTTTTTCTACCTGAGACTGCTTTTTTTTTTTTTTTGGTAATGGGGTCATCATTGTGCACATTAGTTACTGTTGCATAGCTAAAGGTGGCTTGTAGAAGACTACATGATTCATGTTTTTGAATTTTTGTGTTCAGTTCCGTTGTTTATTGTCGGTATACTTCATTTGGTTTCTTCTTTAACCTTTCATTTTGCTGCTTATTTTGTGTTAAAATGGGAAACCAGATAACCAATTTTGTTAAGAGTTATAGTGAAAACAAGTAATTGGGCTCTGGGGAATACAGGGTCAAAGGACTATAATATAGTAAGTAAATGGGTACTGGAGTCAGATGACAGAGTAGGCTCAAATTATCTTTTATATTTATTTATTTATTTATTTATTGTTAAAATATATTTTTATTGATTTCAGAGAGGAAGGGAGAGAGAGAGAGAGAGAAATATCAATGATGAGAATCATTGATCGGCTGCCTCCTGCACGCCCTCTACTGGGTATCGAACCTGCAACCTGGGCATGTGCCTTTAACCTGAATCCCTTCAGTGCGCAGGCCATCCGGCTAGCCCAGGGGTGGGCAAACTTTTTGACTCGAGGGCCACAATGGGTTCTTAAACTGGACCGGAGGGCCGGAACAAAAGCATGGATGGAGTGTTTGTGTGAACTAATATAAATTCAAAGTAAACATCATTACATAAAAGGGTACGGTCTTTTTTTTTTTTAGTTTTATTCATTTCAAACGGGCAGGATTCCGCCCGAGGGCCGTAGTTTGCCCACGGGCCGCTAGCCACTAAGCCAAACCAGCTGGGGCGAATTATTATCTCTTTTATTAATGTACTACATAACTTTGGACAAGTAAGTCACTGGACTTGTTTGAGCTTGGATTTCCACACCTGTAAAATGGGAATAATAAAATAGAGCTATTGTGAGAATTAAATGTGATGTAAAGTACCCCACTACATTGTGGGTACTTCTCTCCCCTTTCATAAGTGAAATACATAGACTATCTGATATAGTATATTTCAAGACTCATTCATCCTGCAAAATGATTCAAAACTCTTCTCAACTGTAAAGGTTTCCCATAAATTTAGATTCTTTTTTTCATCTCTGCATCTATTGCACTTTATTCCTGCCACAATTTTAACAGGCACTTTACTTATATTGTGTTATAATCATGTTTATGTGTCTGTCTCCCCAGGAGGGCTGTAAGTTCTCAAGAGTATTGGCTGGGACCTGGAAGCTACTAAATAAATATCTAGTAGATGAACAAATTTATATTTGGCTTCTTTTGTTGCTTATCAGTTTGAATAGATGAAGTTACCACATTAGGGAGTTTCCACCCCCACATCATTCAATCATGCCTTCATTCAACCATTGGTTATGGAACCCCAGGTGAATGCCATTCTAAAAACAGAGAACCAGTGGTCAACAATTTTGACATTCTACTGAAGGGAGACAGACCATAAAGAAGTAAACAAATAATGTAATTTTAGATAGTAAAGGAAAACTTCCCTGAAGAGATGACATATAATCAGAGATTTGATGAATGAATAAATATTATCCTGGCAAAAATGAGATTTTTGAGGGGGACATAGGGAACAATACGTGTAGGTTACTCATGGTAAGAAAGAGCAGATAAGTTCTAAGAATTGAAAGTAATGCAGTGTAGTTGGGGCATACAGTTTGTTGGAAGTGTGAAAGCTTGAGCACAAACTTACATAAATCTCTCCTTGACTCAGTTTTCTCATCTGCAAAATGAGAATAATGCTAATTATTCTGCTTCACAATGAGAATACAATGAAATAATTCTTGCAAAGCATAGCAAAGTGCCTAGCACAGCCGTGGGCAAACTACAGCCCGAGGGCCGGATCCGGCCCGTTTGAAATGAATAAAACTAAAAAAAAAAAAAAAGACCGTACCCTTTTATGTAATGATGTTTACTTTGAATTTATATTAGTTCACACAAACACTCCATCCATGCTTTTGTTCCGGCCCTCCGGTCCAGTTTAAGAACCCATTGTGGCCCTCGAGTCAAAAAGTTTGCCCACCCCTGGCCTAGCACGTAAGAAACGCTCAGTAATGTTAGGAATTCTTACTGCTTTTAGGCAGCCAGATGATAGGATCTTATAAGCCTTGTTAAGATCCGTGGACTTTACCCTAGGAACAGGGAGAAGCCCCTGGGGCCTTTTGAGCAAGATGGTGACATATTCCATTGTGTATTAGAAGGATTGCTTTGGAAGCAATGAGGAGAATGGATTTCAGGGGTCAAAGTGCAACATCAGTTAGCAGTTTGTCCACCAGCCCAAAGCAAAAATGATGGTGGAGTAGGATATAGTGGAAAGAGTGAATGGGTTTGGGAGATAGCTAGAATATAGTGTTTAATTGGACATAGGAGGTGAGGAAAATAACAAACATTAAGGATGGCTTGAAAGTTTCTGGCTTTAACTACGTGATGAGTAGTTCTATAATTTCCAGAGACAGAGAGTGGGTCAGTTTAGGGGGAATAAAGAGTTTTGTTTTAGACATGTTGAGATTACATCGCCTATGTTGCATCCTATAAGAAAAAGCTCACAAAGGGATTTTTGCCCCTGCTATACCACTGTTCTACTTCTGCCATTATCTCTCACTTCTCCAGACTTAACCCATCCTCCACCTTTCTATCCACCCTCATGTAACTGCAGAGCCATTTATCTAAAAAGAAAATCTGACCATGTTACTCTCCTGCGTAAAATCCTTTAAAATAGGACAGACTCTAAACTTCCATAAGAATTCAGCGTCATCCGGCCTCCACTTGCCACCCCAGCTCATTGCCCAGCACTCCCAGCCTCACAGGGAAACCAAATAACTCAAATGTAGCACTCCAGAATACTTTTTGTTACTCATTAGTAACAAAGCAGCAGAACTGAACTGCATTTGCAATTCCTGCAGGTCAGCTCAGAGGACCATATTAAGGAAGAGAGAGATGGTAGGGCATCTCTGTTTGTATTCCTGTTGTAATTTATTGATTTCATGTCAACATACTTAAATTTATTTAGCACATTTTTTTAAATTTTTAAAAAAATATATTTTATTGATTTTTTACAGAGAAAAAGGGAGAGGGATAGAGAGTTAGAAACGTCGACCAGCTGCCTCCTGCACACCTTCTACTGAGAATGTGCACGCAACCAAGGTACATGCCCTTGACTGGAATAGAACCTGTGACCTTTCAGTCCGCAGGCCGGAGCTCTATCCACTGAGCCAAACCGGTTAGGGCTATTTAGCACATTTTTGAGCACTATTCTGTGCCAAGCTCTGACCCAGGACTGGGGAGGTCAGTAAGATTTGTTCTCCACTTTTGAGGAAGGTCATCTATTCTCATAGGGGGCTTTATTTTTTAAAAATTTAACCCCATAATACCTTTTTGATATGCTTGATTTCCCTAAACAAAGGAACAAAAACAATCCACTGGTAAACTATAGTCTTTATGATGCATTGTAATTAGAGGGGAAATGTGAACGTATATACATACATCCAAAGATTATGAGTAGTCAAAATAGCCAAGTACATTTTCAAGAATGGTCATTTGATTATTTTCATTTTCTTCTGAAAATGTCTGAAAGTAATTTGACTTACGATAGAAAATTTAGATCAAGTAACAAGGTATGTATCTTTAAGTGGGATGGAGGAGGCATTAAGTGATTGTTACACCCCAGTGAGAAATGAAACTTAAGCTGTTGGGTATGGTGCACATTTACAGTTGTTAGAGTTCCAGATGGAGTGTTCCTCTCCACCCCTGGCTTACAGGATGAATCATATCTGCACTATCTATCCTCAGTGTCTTCTTTATAACATATTAATACATCCTGTCCTCTTCCTTTGTTCTGACTTTTCAG